CGGTTCCGAACTCGCCACGCTGGTCCGCCGTTGCTAATGTGGCGCTGACGTGGTTGATATGTTACCGCCACATAGATGCCACATCAACAACAAACATTTTTTTTTTAAATTTTATAAAATATCTTGGTAAACTATTTTTTTAGTCTCAATCTGACCTCCTTTATCATTTTAGGATTTTAAATGGACCATGTCTGAAAATAATCCGCAAGTAAATTTTTTTGCTAAAATGGTCCTCCAACGTGTCACTTGCGTGGCGATGACAAGTCAGTCGCGTCAGTGCTACATCAACAACGACAAACTAGCGTGGCGAGTCTGGCACCGGAAGACCATTTTAGCAAAAAAATTTTACTTACGGGATTAATTTCAGACATAATCCATTTAAAGTTCTTAAAAGGATAAAAGGAGTCAGATATGAGACTAAAAAAATAATTTATTATATTAAATGTTTCAAACATTTTTATTTGGATAAGATCAATCCTTTTTTTTTTCATTTATCTTCTTTCATATCAACAATGTGATCCAAATGTTCTATAACTTTCGCATTTTGAATTTTCATATCTTCAAAATCCTCATAAAAAATAGAATCTAAGTCTTTTTCTTGTATTCGTTTTTCTTTATTTTTGTAAGCTTTGACACCAAGGGGGACAAATAGGAAGTGGTTCATCAAAAGTGTAATGTGTGGTGTTGAAGGATTTGAACCTTATAAATATCCATCAGCTTCGTTGGTTTTAGTTCTTTTAGAACCACCACTATTATCATGAAATGCTTCACTAAAAATATTAGTAGCACAATAAATCGTATAAATGTTGGTTCATGTTTCGACTCACACCATGGATGTTCACACGTGAAAGACTTACCACAATTGACAAAATATATTTTGTATGTCTTGTTTAAACATCATCACTAAACTGTATGTTTTGTCTTCTTTGGTTAGCTTGCTCATAACAACAAACAAATTTTGATATAGCTTGATTATTTTTTTTTCCAATGATTTTTACACTGACTTGAACTTCTTCGTGTACCTATATCCAATTTGTTTTCTATGTAGTATTCATATATTTCTTTTCAAAACGCATAACATTTTTATCAATTTTTGTAATGACATCTTTGCTTATGTTAAGCCATGTATTAACAAGAAGTAGATCTTCTTCATGACTCATTTGTTTTCATTCCCATGTTAAAGTAACAATTTGCACATCATCAGCTTGTGTATAAAATTTAGGATTGTCTTCCGTATGTGCATTTTGCATTGAACCAGATGGTGGTGGATATAATGAAACTCCAAATGCTTGAAAGCTCGGCCGGTAAAAATTGAATTTTGGTTTGATGAGTTTTGTGAACATTCTTGATTTTCAAGCATATTCACAAAACTCTTAAACATAAAAGAATTTTGAGAATTAGTGGAATTTTGAAAATTTTGATCGATGATTGGAAGCAACGTGTGAAGAAATAGTATATATGAAGTTGATGTGTTACCATATGCATAGAAGACTCTTATTTATAATACGCAATATTGTGCCGTAAAGTGAATTTTCACATCAAATTAATTGTTGTACTAGTTTTATTGAATTGATTATTGACACATTTTGGACCCTTTTTTGTTGTAACATCAAATCACATTTATTAAATTATTTTTTTATTTAAAGATACATAAATACAAATAGTTGTATCGTGAATTGAATTTTCACATCATATTAATTTTTATTGAATTTATTATTGTATTTGTTTTTTGAGCAAAAATCAGTTTAAGTCCCATTCAAAACCATTTTTTTTTTCATTTTTAGTCTCATTCAAAAATATTTATCAAAACTAGTCCCACAAAAAACAAAACTCATCATTTTTAGTCTCACCGTTCAAATTTTAGCGGAATATGCTGATGTGGCAATTACGGACGCTACTTTGGCCGTTGAGTCGGATCGAACATAGACGTGTTGAAACTAAACACGCCCGTTTTATCCTCAAAGCACACCTGTTCCAATGGGCATGTTTAAACACGTCCGTGTTTATACAAACACACCCGTGTTTCGTCGAGCCAGTTCGACGGGAGAAAGTGTGGGATGAAGCTTCACACGTCGGACAACGTCAATGGCTGGAGGAGAGACAAAATTGCACCCAAGGGGATGAACTCAGGGTGGAAGGGAACCCAAAAAGCCCAAAAACTAGCCGAAGAAGGGACTAAGTCGCTTGCGAACTTAAACCCAAGCTTTTTTGCGGACGAGAGGCCACAGCGTGCCGGAACAGAAGAAAAAGCTACCAATCGACCAAGAATAGCCAAGGATGAAGAAATTAGGGTCAAGGGGACCCCCAAAATCCAAAACCCAGCGGAGAACGGCCATCGGAGGGTTCCACAGCAGACCGGCGATGAAAGACTTGCAACTTGAAGAATAGGTGAGAAACAGTTTAGTAGACCGCCAGACGATTGACGAATGGGGGAAGGATCCACCGGACGGCGACCTCTATGCTTTAGACGAAGGATTTCTGGCCGCGCTCAGTCCCAACGTGTGAAGCTTCATCGCAGCTTTCTCCAGTCGACCCGTTCGATGCTACATGGCGTGGTTGTATAAATGCGGCCGTATTTAAACACGTCCATTGAAACATGTGTGATTTGAAGATAAACACGGGCGTGTTTAGTTTCAACACGGCCGTATTCGATCCGACTCAACTGTCAAATCAGCGTCTGTAATTGCCAAGTCAACATAGTCCGTTGAAAAATTTGAACTGTGGGACTAATGATGAATATTTTTTTGTGTGTTGCTAGTTTTGATAAATATTTTTAAATGAGACAAAAATTGGAAAAAAAAAAGGTTTTGAACGAGATTGGAAATGATTTTTGCTCTAGTTTCTTACACAATTTTTACTTTTATTATTGTAATATCAAATCAAATTAAAATATTTAAATTTATTTTTATTTAAAGACACATAAGTATAAATAATTGTACCATAAATTAAATTTTGATATCACATTAACTTTTATTGAATAAATTATTATACTAATTTCTTATATAATTTTTACTTTTATCATTATAATATTAAATCAAATTAAAATATTTATTTTTTTATTTAAAGACACATAATACAAATAATTATACAATAAATTTAATTTTTATATCATATTAACTTTTATTTAATTGATTATTGTACTACTTTCTTTCACAATTTTTACTGTGATCATTCTAATATCAAATCAAATTGAAATATCTAAATTTGTTTTTCTTTTATTTAAATTCACATTAAATACAAGTAATTGTATAATATATTGAATTTTCAAATTACATTAACTTTCATTTCATTGTACTAAGTTCTTTCACCATTTTTACTTTTATTATTGTAATATTAAATAAAGTTGAAATATCTAAATTTGTTTTTATTTTTAAAGATACATAAATAAAAATAAATTTTATGTTAACTTTCATTGAATTGATTATTGTATTAATTTTTTATATAATTATTACTTTTATCATTGTAATATTAAATTAAATTAAAAGATTTTTTTTCTTTAAAGATGCATAAATACAATTATAATTCCTAAATTGAATTATTAAATAAACAAATATTAATAAATATGTATATTAAATTAAAATTATTATTATTTAAATTAATTTAAAAATAGATAATTTAATAACAGAAAAACAAATTAAAATTTTTGTAAATGGATGTTAATTTGAATTTTTGTTTAAAAAATATTTTGATTAATACTTTATGAGAGAAAATAGTATATTTTTATTGAAAAATTATATCAAATGAATAATGTTGATTTTGATTTAAAATATTAAAAAAAAAAAAAAAAAACAAACCCTTAATGAGATAGATTTCTATGGTGATGTGACAAAAAGAAAATATAAAGTAAAAGATATAGTTTAATGTGCAAAGCTCTATCTAACACATAAACAACTGAAACAATTAAGTTTTGTTTCTTAATTTATACAGATTTTTATACTTTACATAAAAAAAATATTCTTCAAACCAAAACACAAAATAAACACACCTATATAAAAATTATGTAATTAATATAAAGATAAAATTTTATGTTGAATATTAATTTTTTTATGAAAAATATAAAATAAAACATACTCTCTTTCTGTTTAAACTAAAAGTAAATTTTATTATTTTCGTTTTTAGTTTGTCTTATTTAAAAATATTATTTTTTTTCTAATATTGTAAAAGTATTTTATATACAAATACCAAATTATTTTTATTTTTACATAAATTACAAAAATATTATTATTTATCTGTACTTTATAAGATAAAAAATATCAAATTATTTTACACACTTTCACTAACTAATAAAATATTACTTCATATTTCCCCGTTTAAGGATTATATTTATTTTTGTCTTATTATACTTAACATTAAATATATTTTTATATTTATATAATTATCGTTATATCAATATTACAAGATACTAATAGAAATATTTGTCATTTTTCTTTAATTTGTATTTATGTTTTGATATAATAATTAAATATTAAAAAATCAACACGTACAAAATAAATATGATATTTAATGCCGGAGGATGAGAGTATTATTTATTAATGAAGTGAGAAAGAGAGTATATATATTAAAAATTATATATATATATATATAATTCGTGCACAAACAAACACTTTATTTGATATTCTCTCAATTTTATAAAATTGTTCATATTATTATAGGCATGAGATTTCAGCAGAAGTATAATAATTGAATAAGTAAAAAATTTGTATTAATAAAAATAATTATTATATAACATAAATAATTAAATAATTTAATTAAAATTTAAAATATAATTAAAATATATAATTATTTATTTTAATTAAAAGAGAAGACATGAATTATATAGGACGAGAGAGAACTACGAAAATTGACATTTTACTTAGGATGAAGAAAATAAAATGATAACACACTTTTTTTTTAATTTATTTTATTTTATTTTATTAATTTTTTGGAAAAGCCATCGACTTCAACCCAACGACTGTTTTTAACTCTCACTGGATCATCACTGATCACTCTCACACATCACCATTCTGTCTTTCACTGTGCAAAAAGAAGTCAGTCATGTGACTGCAACAGCACCCCACTGTTCAGCCACGGATAGATACATATAGAGAGACGACCGGACGACAAAAAGGAAAGAAAGAAAGAGTATCACAAACACGAAACAAACATCCCAACTACAATCCTGAATAATCCAACAAATCCCAATCCCAATCCCACCCAGTTCTTGACAGAAACCCCCACCCAAAAATAAAAATATCATCTCTCACGTCATTCCATTGCACCACCTGTTCATGTTTTTTCCGAAATCGAACCGAATTAAGGGCCTGCTCTGCTCTGCTCTGCCTTGTCGGCAAACTATTTCAACACCATATGGCCGGTGAGTTCCACCAGCATCAACACCCTCTATTCTACCAATCAAGCGGCGATGGCCCCTCCGGAGGGTTTGGGAATTTCTACAACGCCGCCGCTGGAGGAACCCTTAATGAGGGGCCGGCTCAGATGTTGTCCTCCCCTTCCCAGTCCCAGGTTAAGATTTCTCCGGGGGGCCCTTCTTCCTCGACGCTCTTATTGGATTCGGTTCCCGGCCTGAAGCATGACACCGGTCTTGCAGTCGAATGGTCCGTGGAGGAACAGTATAAGCTCGAGGAAGGCCTTGCCAAGTAGGTGGTACTTTTTCCGAGCAACAAGTACCTTTTGTTTTTAGTTTATCTATGGCTGTGGATTGAATGTGTTATTTTGAGGGTACTACTTCTGCTGCATGAGGTGCAACCGATGCATTGTGAAAGGGCTTGTTGGTTTGGTTTATAGGAATTGAGTAGTTGTCTTGATTCAAATTTTGATTTTTAGTCCGCCATCGAATGTGATTTGGCCATTTCTACATCCCGGTTTTTTTACTGTGTTCCGCCAAACCAATTGTCATAAGATATTGGTGGTAGTGAAGCAAGAATCAAGAATCTAGACCTGCTCGTCTTTTTCCAGGAGGCCTCAAAGCATTTGCTAATGCATGGTTTCATGATAGTTTTTTCGTTCGAAATAGTGGCAATTGTATGTTTTTTAATGTAGATTTTACAATTTTAGAGGATTAGTATGGTGTGTTTGCATGATGTCTTTTCTTAAAGTGTGATTGGTTTGTGTATGTGTTTAATATGTAGTTGAATGTGATATTTTCGGAGATTAAATTGCTTGTCTTTACAGGGGGAGTTTTGCTATAGTAAAAAAATCTTAATAAGAGAACAGAGCCTTAGGGTACAAGTTTACCAGAGGTTTACTACTTTAGCTTCTTCTTAATGTATTGATCAGACGTATGCCATGCTAGTAGATGCAAAGACAAAATATCGGGGATTGTATACAAGTTTGTGCATTTTCTTCTTTTACTCGAGTTGAAATGAATACCAACATCCCTATACATCAGTAGTGAATGACAGGAGAACTTTGCCTCGTCTACTTTGTACTGGTAATGCTTCTTGATATATTTCTATTAGGTAGTTTGTCGTTCTGTGCTAGTGGTTTGCAGAAATCCCTTAATTCCAATGTACTGATTATCGAACAGGCATGTGTGGTATTTTAGTTTTTCCTTTTGTGTGTCATGTCTACATAACACATTTGTTTTTCTGAATGGGATTTGTGGAATGATCTGGACTGATGAATGTGGACTTTTATTTTGTTTCTATTTGCCTTTTGTTAGTTTCTAATGTACCATTCCTGATTTGGCTGGCCGATTCCTACTTTGATTTTTGCAGATTTGCGAGTGAACCCCAAATTATGCAGTATATAAAGATAGCAGCTTTGCTAAATGACAAAACCGTGCGTGATGTTGCTCTACGGTGTCAGTGGATGGCGGTAAGTTAAGTACTTATCAGTGATTGATAACTTCTGTTTTTCGAAATACTTCATAGTACTCTGTTTTTATTCATCATGCCTAATTCATGGTCTTTGATAGAGGAAGCGAAGGAAACAGGACGATCAAAGCATCAGAAAGAAATTCAAGGAACAGAAGGTAATACTTTCAGTATTGCATATTATTGGCTTCAAGACCTGCTATGGTGTTCTTTTCGGAATTCAGAACAATTTATTATTTTAGTCCATTTCACTTAATGATGATAGATTTAGGTGGGTTAGGAGTTAGAACCTTCTAGCGTCACAGTAAAGTGGAGAATTATTCAATCAAGAAACATATGGAACCTCTGTTACCTGCGCTTTAATTTAAGAATGATTGACATGAAAATAACATGTGATGGCACACCTCTCTGCTCAATCCACAATTAAATTCAGCAAGATAAGCTTTCAAAATTTTGGTTGTTTTTGTAGTGTTTTTTCTCATTAGCCAGAAAATGACGTAAATGAAGGATTTTAAGTCTGAGATACCCATGTAATCACTTCCACTGCTGATGTGAACGACATGAATAAATGGCAAAAGAAGAATGCCTATCGAAAAGTGGGGGACTTACACTTTTCAACTATTATCTGGGGACCCTCAAAGATTAGAAAAGTATTCCATGATGATTATTCAAATACCTACTCAATCCCTATTCTTGCAATCTTCTAGTCCTGATTATATTAAAGCATAATAGCCATTTCGATACCAACACTAAAGGGTAATCCTAAGTGGGATATGTTGTTTTGGGCTTATAATTGATGTTTGTTTTGAAATTCCATCTCTACTTCCAAACTAGAAATGAGTAGGGAATTATTTTTCCTAAGCTCTTGTCTCTTCTAAACGTCTTTTTTATAAAATGTGTCCCGTGCAGGCATATAACGTCTCTTTCCACTTTAAAATGATATTTGGACGACGATCCTTTGTATTTGTCTTATTCTCATGAGCACAAGAACATAATTTCTTTTTTCTGCTGAAAACAAATAAATATTTAAATGTTACCATTTTCAGGATAAATTGAAGGAAATGTCTTTGAAGAATAACATAACTGCACCTTCTTCAGTGAGTGTGCCATCGTATTTGTCAGCCACAAAGCTTCATAATCTGAGTGATTGCATGCATTCAGGAGGTAAGTCTCAATAGCTAATGTATTAGCCAAATCTATGTTCTTTAAGTATCATTTTTAATTGTTTGATTTAAATGGCTTATATTTGCCTTCTTTTCAACTAATTGTAATTCCACAAGATTTCGTCCCTTGTCAAATTTAATGATTTTATTGTGATCTAATTCCTATTCTTTGTTTCGGTGATGTGAAATTTTAGCACTGGCCTAGCATTGGATGCTGGTACGACAAAGTGTATATTACCATAAGGGTCTTCACTATTTATTGTAGATAAAGTTAAGAATTACAAAGATACGCACTAAAATAGTTTGTCTGCGATAACATAGGCAAAATGGAAACAAAGAAGGAAATTGTTGATGCATGACTGAAAAGTTGAAATGCAAAATCGGAAGCAGGTGTGAATAATTGACCGAAAGGCATTGCTGGCATAATAACCTCTTAAATGCCATCTAGTGTGTCAAAAAAAATAACATTAATATATCTCTAATAAATCATCCAACTCTATATTCGATAAATGAGTGATGGAAAAAGAAGAACGCCATTAAAAAGTTATGCAAATCCTATGATTTATTCATTAATGAATTACGATAACACATTCCTAGAAGCACCAATCTTGCTAAAGTGGAACACTAGGTAGGAGAGAGCTCTTGATTTGGCTATAGCTTTTAAGCATAGTGTTGCAATTTACTCTCATCCTTTTCGGGAAAGAACCAGAATGATCCTATGTACAGTTCTGCTCCTCGATAATTACAATAATGTGTTTTGTTGCTTCAAAAAGAATAACTCATCTTCAGAGGTGGCCTCCATTTATCCATGTAATGAGGTGGGATAATTAATGGTTAGGTTATTTTTTTAAGATGGATCTGCCAGATATGTTGGACAAATATGTGATAATGATATATTACATCTAAAAAGCTGTCGTTAGTTACTCAACTAATTCATGTGCTAAGCTTTGCAAAAGAGTAGTGTCTGTTTTCAAAGGTGAGAGAAACTAAGGTTTGTTTACATGTGATATTTGCCGAAAATCATTGCCATGTGCTTTTGATTGTTGATTGAAACTTTTGGATGCTTTCTTTCTAGTTTTGTTATTCTATTTTATTTTTTCAACTTTCAGTACTGAGTCACATGTTCAGACATCTCTTGGAAGAAAACAATCAAGCTTTTTTGCAAATATCTGCAAATCTTTCAACTCTCAAGGTAATAATACTTGAACCTTAAGGTCATACATAGGTTATTAGATTAATTTATTTGATTATTTATCATTGTACAAGCTGAAGGAGAACACTTGTGTTATTAAAGGAAGCATGAATAAATCCAGCAACAGGATTTCATTATATCTTTGGAAGTGACGAACATGGGATGACTCTACCATATTTTGTTATAGTTGCATGTTGGCCAGGTCGATTAGATATTTAGATGTGTTGCAGATCTGGGAGTGTTTTATTTGTGATTTCAACCTTGTTTTTGCACTATTCCTTCTTCACTAAAATATATTTTCCCCTTAAAAAGATCGTGTTCAAAACGTGTTTCCCATTCCAAAACACAACCGAGCATGCTAATTGTTTCCCTTAACCAAGAGCCATAAATAGAAAGAAACTTTGCTAATAAGTGTTGTTTTTGTTTGTATTTTTCTATGTCGTATCAACTGGTGATAAATCTCTTTAACAGTATGCATATGGTGTTTTTCTTTTCATGCCAATATTCCCCGAAATTATTTGGTTTATTTTGTACCTCTTCTAATTTTGACTTCCATGTATCAGTTGCAGGATAATATTGAGCTCTTTTCACGCACAAAGAACAATTTAACTACCATTTTGAATGAGTATGCTTTTTACTGGCCTGTCAACCTCGACTTCCATATATATTGCGTTAGTAGTAGTAAAATATTTTACCGAATTTTGGTTACAGCATGAGAAATATGCCTGGGGTTATGGGCCAAATGCCACCTCTTCCAGTGCTCTTAAATGAGGAACTTGCAAGTAGCATTTTTCCGAATTCATCTCAGGTATCCATGGCTGCCACTCTTGAATGATTAATTGGTGGATATATATATATATATGTATATATATCCGTTTCCAGAGAAATATAAGCATCATTCTGTTGAATAATTTTATCGGTAGAAGAAATATATTTAGATACATATGATTAGCCTGTCGAATAATCTTTGTTCAAAATCTAATTTTAGTGCATATTTCTCAACTATTTATTGCTTCCTATTACATTATTATATAAGTAGGTAGTTTCGATCTTTACTATAAGACGTAGATAATATTATAATTTGATCATTACATGGAGATAGGTGTAAATATAGTGACCAAATCAAATAAAAGTTGTCGCTCGTGCCAATTCTCCCTTAAATATTCCATTTCAATCCTCCTATGTTATGAAGGTTCTTGATGAAACTCCACAAAAGTTTTTGAATTCATCTGAACCTGTGTAGGTGACGAGAGAGAGAGAGAAAACAATTTTATACTCCCTCCGTCTCATATAAAGAGTAACGTTTGTTTTTTGCACGTAGATTTTTTAATATTAGTATTATATTGAGTTGTAGTAAAAAAGACGAAAATATCTTCATTAATATTGTATAATATAAAGGTGGTGGCATTTGTATAATATATTGTAAGTTGGAAGGGTATTTATTATGTTTGGTAGGTAATACAATTACTAAATTAGGAAATGGTACCCTTATTTTGGGATGGACGAAAATGGAAAATATAACCCTTCTTATGGGACCGGAGGGAGTATTTTTTTATTTTATTTTTAGTTATAGTTGAATACTTTTGAGGCACTGAGGATATCTTTTTTTTGGTACAAAGTTTACTCAGGAGGCTTCTCTATATATAATTCCGTTTATTACCCTGCCTGTTTATATGTTCAATTTTCCGAATTAAATTTTTGAATGGTTTTTGATCAGCAGGACTCATGTTTGCTAATGAACCATGAATCTTTGTCATTTTGAAATTTTCTGTTGTGAAATGCAATCCTCGAACCCCTTCAGCCCTGGTGTGTAATATAAAACACAAACCCGTTTGTTCAAATGTTTTCAGTTTAGCGTTCCAGGTCCGATACTTCTAAAGCCAGAGCCGGGATGCTGATCGATGTCGTGATCTCACAAGTTAGTGTTATGTAAGTAGGGATTTCTGGAACAAGCTTTTTGTACACAATGAGTGAGTCATGTGTTATTGTTGGGAATATGAAAATTGTCTGGTATATATATATATATATATATATTTATATATCGATTCCGGTATATGTTTTTTTTTATTGCTCAACTTTTGGTTCAATAGTTTATCATGGATAAATATATTTGATTGTGTTCATACCCTATTTTCGATCCATTTTCGGTGAAGTATTAACTGTTTTTCTTCCTTCAAAATCATTGTCTCAAATACCTTTAAAAATAAATAAATTAATAATCATTCAAAACATCAATTTGAAATTGCCTGTGCACCTGAAGCCTTTATTTTGCCGTTTGTAGTATGGCTTAGTTTATACGGTTACGTTTTTAATCATTTTGGCAATGGCAGGTACATGCATAACATCCAAAATTAAAATCTTACAAGAAAATTCATTAGCATTTGGACATACAGCTTGTCCATTTTCCAAAAACAAATAGAAAAATTATTGCAACATTGTTGAAGGAACAACGTAAACCTGCTGCAGGCTATTTTATGAATTAGTAGACGACAGCTTAGCTAAAATTAGTATTGTATTTGTGATGGAAATTGAAATAACATCTTTTGGTCCTAATTCATAATCTCATTTAATTTGTAAACTTCTGACATACTTACCTACCAACTACTTTAACTAGAACACAAGTTTTGATCAATATATGCTTATGAGAATGAATTGCAACTTATGAAAATGGTTAGGGTGATTGATCGAAGCTAATCAATATATATATATATATAGCACTAGTAATGATTAGCTCTAATCAACACGTACAAATAGAACATATATTAAATATATGTTGTATAAATTGTTAGTACCTAATTGTTATATTTTACAACGGATGATATAGGTGTTATTTCTCTCTTTAAACAATTCTTGCATGATAGATCCAAAATTAAGGATCTTGGTTTAGTTTAATACTTTCTAAGAATAGAGGCGATTGAGTGTAATATTGGCCTCGTGTTTAGTCAGAGAAAATACACCCTTGAATTGCTTGCAGAATATGGTGTTTTGGAGTGCAAATCAGCCCTTGTTCCAATGGAACAAAATTTGAAACTTCATAATACTGTGACTGAAAGTGATAATCTTCTGTTTGACCCCGCTGTGTATCAACAACTTGTTGAAAAATTGATATATCTCACTATGACTCGTCCTGACATAGCATTTTCTGTTCAAGTTTTAAGTCAATTCATGCATAAACCTAAACGATCCCACCTTGCTGCTGCTCTTAAAGTTCTAAAATACTTCAAGGTTCCCCATGTCAAGGTTTTTTTTTTTCAAATTCTAAAAATTGCATGTCTCTGTCTACTGGATTCTGATTGGGCTTCATGTCCCATTTCAAGAAAGTCTCTGACAGATTTATGCATATTCCTTGGAGATTCCTTGATTTCTTTCAAAAGCAAGAAGCAATCGACTGTAAGTCGCTCGTCAGCTAAAGCTAACTATCGTGTCATGGCTACTTGTTCTGAAATTGTTTGGATCCTTGGTATTGATACACCTACTGATTTATTTTGTGACAATACAGATGCACTCATGATTGTCACGGCGTCCTTTTGCGGCACGGCGCCAGGGGACCGCCGTACCGCCATGGCGATAAAATGGCAAACACGGCTATAAAATTAAATATATATAATTATAAATCTTTAAAAATTATACATTATCAACTTCTATTAATCTTCAAAACTTCATATGCCTTATATCATAAAAAGAAATATAATACCATAAAAAATATAATTTCAATCATCAAACAAAACAAAATACTATTCATAAATCTCTAAACCATTAATTTTATCATCTCAAATTTCAACAATCAAAGAGCTCAAGTCCACCACTACCACTAGGAATATTTTCCAAATCATCATCGTCAAGTCATCATCTAATGATACATCTTCATCGTCTAGTTCTTGCTTCATCAATGCCGAAGCTGACGCTTTCTTAGGACGTCTAGAGTATAATTGTATTGATGAACCCGATGTGTCGCCGATATTTCCCCTTCCAGGAATATTGTGCCCATAGCTTGATCAATATGACTCCATCTAAGATCCTCTCCCGAATGAACTACATCATTGGTGTCGAGAACCCACTCATTATCTCATTCAAATTCCTCCAACACCAAATGATTGAAGTTCTTTCCTTTCTCGCGCCTCTTTTGGAATCTATTCGCAATTTTTCGATTGTATTGAACGAAAACTAAATCGTTCAATCTCTTTTACTCCAATCTATTTCGTTTTTTCGTATGAATCTAAAAAAAAATTATAATATATTAGTATGACTACAATAGGAATAATGTTTAATATATTAATTATATAAGTAATTAAACACTCATAAATTCGAATGAGTTTCAATTGTGTTCGGACTCCGAGGACGAACAACAAAGACTAATTATACAGAAAGCAAGTGATTGGAGCTCGAAATGAAGGCCTCCAAAAGCATTCCACCAATCAACTAAAATTGTAAAACATTAAAAAAAATATATTTAGTTCGAACTTTAATGAAAATTGGAAAAATAAATAAATACATAAAATATTATAAAAATTAAGCACTTACGAGGAATTTTTGTCTTTTGTTGCTTAATGGCCAATTGTTTTCCAAAGCTTCCCCGCATATTATCATAATCATCGACTTGATCACAAATCTTTGTTTGCAATTCATCATCTGTGATCATTTTTTCAAGAACATCATTAAACATAGCTCGTGCCTTACGAGCATATGCATTATCATTCACCTTGAGATCAAAGTACTTGGAAGGATTAAGAAATAATGCAGCCTCATACAGCTCCACTTCCATTTGATCCTCCCACCGACAATCGATAATATGCATAACTTCTTTCAAAAAATTTGGTTTTTTCTCAAAATCTTCCTTGATTTTCCTTTTAGCTTCATTCATCACCACTGCAAGCTCAGGCATCATTGGCTTCTCATCCCCGTCAACGATCCTCAAAACAATTAGAAGTGGATGCGATGCTTTTATACAATACTACACGTCAGTCCAAAAAATGAGAAGACAATACCGTGTTTGCTACTAATCTCCCGGCATTTGTATTAACCAATTTCGATGTAGTCCAAAGCATCCCTATGCTTATATAAGCTCTGCAAAGTAAAAAATGAAGTAGCAAACCGGGTAGGCCCAGGCCTCACAAGATCACTCTCGTATGTCTTCTCCCGCATCGCATTAAGAAGTTTTATGTGCTTATAGATATAGGTAGTAACTCTTCTTGCATTGTCAATCTTTGCCTGGAAAACTGACAATTTCCCGATATCTTCCAACATAAGATCAAGACAATGAGCTGCACAATGAGTCTAATATAAAGTGGGTATGCGCTACTCCAATATTTAACCCGTTGCCTTGAAATTAGCACCATTGTCCATTACTACCTGAACCACATATTCCTTTCCAATTTCTTCAATTTTCGCCTGAAGTAAATCCGCCAATAATGATGCAACTTGAGATTGACTTGATGCATCAATCGACTCTAAAAAAAATGTACCTTCTGGGCTATTGACGAAAAAATTAATCAAATGTCGCCCTTTTTTATCCGTCCACCCGTCAGCCATAAGTAAACAACCGTATTGCTTCCAAGCAATATTATGTCTTTCCTTCAGTGTTAGTGTCTTTTTCACCGTCTCCTCCAAAAGTAGAACTCGTAATTCATGATAACTTGGACCTTTTACACCCAGTCCCATCTGCCCCGCCGACTCAATCATTATTTCAAAACTTCGAGACTTTGCCACATTGAATGGTATGTCATTTTCACAAAAAAAATCGGCAATATGTCCATGAAATGTTTCGATCTCCTCTTTGCTCTTTGTACTTCTAGTACTCGTTTTGCTATGCCTTTCCTCAATGACTTCTTTTCCTAAGCATTGAGGCAACTGACTTGCTCTCTTTTCCACCTTGTGACGGCACTGATGGAAAATTTAAGATAGATTGCGAACGTTTCCTCTTGCTCAAAATACCTGAACTAGGATAAGAAACATAGTCGTGCAATACCCCCTGCCCTACTTCTTGAACATTCACATCAACATCGTCGTCAACGTCGTTGTCGTCATCTAACTCAACACGATTGGGCTGTTTTCCTATCGTCTTTTTCTTTAGGAACTCTCGCATCTCATTTCGGATTTCTTCAGTAGTCTTTAGACACTTCTCCGCGTCTCCAGAATTTCCAAGCAAGTGTTGTTTCAATCGTTTTATTCTCGATCGTACTTGCTTGTGGCAGAGCGAACATTCTACCAAATCTCTATTTCTCAACTCCGGCCAAAAAGCATATTTCCAACCCGGATCATTTGACTTAGCTTTTCTTTTGGGATCCTTCGATGAGTCTATCGTTGATGCTTCACTTTCGGCCATAGAAAATTAAATCCTATAAATATTTTTATATCAATATGTTAAAATAATACAAAAAAACAACAAAATTTGCTCAATAAAATGAAAAAATATAAAAAATATGATACAAAATAAAATAAATAATATTAAAAAAATAAAATATATATATATAAATAATATAATAGTAATATAATGTATACAACAGGTAATGATAGAATAATAATATAAAAAATAAATAGAAAATAAAGCATATATTTCACACCGCACGCACGCACTTCATTTTCAATCTGTGATCAAGATTCAAACTCCCAAAAAACTCACCCAACTATAATGGCGGATTGGAGCGTGATCCAAGGCGGACTGGAGTGAAGAACTGGCGGATTGAGGCGGACTGGAGCGGGCAAGCATAGAGATTAAAAAGTAGCAGCAACAGGGGACAAAAACTACTGGAATAACGATTGGAATGGTTTTAAGAAGGGTTTTAGATCTAGACCGTTCAAGTCCGATTCAGAGATTTAGAGCGGTTTAAATCCGATCCAGGCTTTGATTCAGGTTAGGGCTTGATTGGGATGACGCGCCGCAGCGTCACCGTGGCGTCGCCACGGCGGGCGCCATGACGTTGCCGCACCGCCTTATGCCACAAGGCGGGGCAATCAAGCCTGGCGCTCATCTACAATGTTTGTTCCTTCTGGGAATCAACGTGCGGATATGTTAACTAAGAGTTTAGGAAGTCATTCTATTACTCACCTATGCAAACTTAACAATCTATTTGACTTGTTTCAGGTGGCTAAGGATGACCCTTCAAGTGAAGGAGGGTGTTAAAAATTGGTAATTGGGCCGTTAACTTTTTGGGCCTTGTGTGTGTTAGTTTTTGGGCCCGTCCATTGTGAGAATATATATATATGCTTAGCCCCTTAAGGCATATACATATATCATCTCCTTCATTCTCACTTCACACCGTTGCATCCGCTGCTTTCTTCATTCATACACTGCTGCACAGTGCACTCGTTGCCGACGCCATCATCCTCTTCCATACACTCGCCATCACACACAGAGCACCTTACATCCATAGCTCTTCACTTCTAATCCATACACTGTCTTCACATGTGCACAATCTACACGCTATTACTCGAATCACTTTAATATGCATCCATCTCTCGTTCATACTCTAATCGATCTCCGCATCGATCTTCCTTCACTTCATTTTTGCTAATACATCATCAATGCATATTATTGTTATTTTTTCTATCACTTCTCTTCCCTTCGCAGGTTACTAATCTGGTTCAGTGAGTTCATGTGGTGTACTTTGAAGTTCTGGTGTAGAAGGCTTATGGAAAGCAATTGATGTGATCTATATCTCTGATTCACTACAGCTCTGGTTATCGTTCCTTATTTATTTGATTTTCGTTGGTTTATGACTGATTGTGAACTATTGAAGGTGTTCCTGTGAGAAGACGTTGTTTTTCTTGTTGATTCGTGTATTGATTTGCTTAGTTTGTGGTCATTTGAGACCTTAGCGATTACTCTTTCATTATCGTTGCCTATGTAAAATGATGTGTTTTTCTCTAATATAATAGAGATTGAAGTGTACGTGTTCCTCACTCTTGTTGAGAGATATCTGTTAAATTGTTTTATAATTTGTTAACAGTGTTATTATAAAAATTAGTAGGAGTTTTGTTGGGCAGTACCATAACCGTTAATTTTTATCTTGTGCCGTTACACAGTTGCATGTCTAACAGCAAAAAAAAAAAAATAATAAATCAATAAATATTTATATTGTAAGTTATAGTGTAGATAAATGATACTCCCTTATGCTTTCCATCCCTTCCATCAAATTTGGTTTATATTTCTTTTTTATATTGTGGTACAAAGTTAGTTTGCTTTTTTAATATAATAATAATTAATTAATAATCATTTAAATTAAAATTTAAGTTATATTTAATTAAATTACTAATATTTATATATTTATTGTTTATTTGATTGTAAATTTGAAAATTAGACTATAATTTTGAACAATAAAAATTAAAATAAATATTTAATTTAATATAAATAAATATTTAGGTAATGTAAAATTTTAATTTAATTTTAATATTTAATTTGATACTTTATGATTAAAAAAATTAGTTAATAGTAAAATTTGATTTTGAAATTTTTTTTCTTATTAAAAAAAATAAAAAATACATTTATCACATACAATTATAAAATTACGTTGTATAATTTGAGCGTAAAATATTATATTTAGATATCGTATATGCAATAATAATACAATATTTTTCTAATATACGTGTCTAAAAAAAATAAAGACCAATTTCATAAAACGGAGTAGATTAATTGAAAGGCAAAAAAAAATCATTAGTAATAAGTATCTGGTATAAAAATTAAATAAAAGAATAATATATGTACAAAGAAACAAATTAGACCCAATTTTCTTGCGCATGGAAGGCAGAGGGAAGCATTCAGCAATTGTGACATGGCGGGGCAATGGCAATGGCAATGGCAATGGCAATGGCGTGTGCACACCATCGTATGATCTGGCTAGAATACGCCGTTCGATGCAAACCTACACCTCCACGGACGCACTGAACGCCACCGCCTTCCTGCATTTCTCCGCAACCAAGAAAGGAATCTCTCTCCCACGTTTCGGTACCTTCAACTGGGATCACTACCTTTAATTTCAACAATTCGGGCGATCTCAATTCGTACCGATCCGTCATGGACAAGGACAAGGAAAAGGACAAGGACAAGGACAAGGAAAAGGAAAGCGCGGACAAGTCGCCGAAAGCCGGGAACCTGTGGCTGATCAAGTCCATTTTCTCCAAGGGCAGTGGTGGCCGGGATGGGGAAGGGGATGGGGAGGCTAACAACGCCAATCCGCCTATTGCCTTCCTTTCTACTTTCGCTAACTCCGTCGTCTCTCGCTGCTCCAAGTAATTTATTTCAACTTCACTCCTCACCGCAGTTGCAGTTCCTTTTGATAAGTTATAGGTTTTTGTTTTATTTCCGTGGAATTAGTGTTATTAATTTTTGCTCATTTTTTAGTCTCTGCTTAAGAGCTTTCTTTCTGTCATTTTGGGAAGTTTTTATTTATTTTTCCTTGTTTTATCTGATACAGTTTGAATGTATTTTGATTGGGGAAAATGCTACTGTTCTTCTTAGGGATTGAATCCAAAAATGTTGGGAGAGCATATATAAGCCTTGTTCGTGTATGGTTGGAAATTGGAATCATTTGGGTAGGATAAAATGAGTGATTATGATGATTCCAGTTTTGCCAACACTCTACTGTTAAGGCGAAATGTTGCATAGAGTAAGACTAGCAAATAATCTCTGAATAATTGTAGGTGTTGAATTAGGAGATGCATAGAATTAATTACCTTGAAAACTTCTTGTTTTGTTTATTCATATTGAGTTTGTGGGAAAAGTAATTGTGTGCTTTCGTTGGAAAAAAAAAAAAAACATAAGTGCATCTCCTGATGGCCAGACGCACTTAATTGTTAATCTTGTTGCCTTTTTTAGTAGCATATGTTTCCCTGCATTTTTATGATACCACATTTCTTTATATCTAATTCTCACTATGTGAAATCAATATTTGATTGCATACATGTGAATGGTTAAGGGTTTTGGTTGTTTTTTCCTAGAATATTTTAGCAACATTGAATTTACTAGTGAAGTTATCAGACCTTGAAGATTGAAGTTGTGAAGCAGTACGAGGTTTTGTTCATTTTCTGAACTAAAATATCAAATTGACTGGTCTCATTCTTTTTTGCTTGTAGAATATTATGTTTTGCTACAAATAGAACTTCTATCATAGTGAACTTTGGTTTCTAAGCTTGCACCAAACATTTTGTAGGATACTTGGCGTTTCAACGAAAGAGTTACAGGAGCAATTTGATACAGAGCTGCCCAATGATGTCAAGCAATGTTCATCCCATGCTAGGAACTTCCTGGAATTCTGCTCCTTTAAAGCGCTTCAAGTGGCCATTTCTCGACCTAAATATTTGAGTGACAAGGAATTTCGTCGCTTGACATTTGACATGATGGTTGCATGGGAGATCCCTGGTGTTGACAGTTGTCTAGTGGATAAAGTAAGATGCAACTATGTTTTTCTGTTTTTCAATATTGTTGTGGAAAATGTGGTTAACATGTGTTCTCAAAACAATGAGTAAAGAAAATAAGATATTTTGTGCTACTAGCTGCATTATTAAGTCTTTACAAGGATTAAGTCACCAGCCAAATGTCTGCCATTTAAATATTCTTTCTTGTTTCAGAAGATTGAGGCATCTTCAATGTTGTACCACTGCAGGATAGTTCTCCTAACAGCAAACGGGATGTGTTGGGTGAGGATGTTGGGTCATTGTTCTATTCCAATTCGACCAGAATGGCAGTTCAGGTGGTTTTATCATAGAAATATATTTCTGATTTCATTAAGTGGTGCAGTCCAGCAAGTGTCAGTTTCCTGTAGAGCTGTTGGTTTATCGAATCTGCTATTACTTAATTCCAAGTGTCATTTATATCTGTGTTTATCTTGTCAAAAACAAAAAAGGTTGATGATGAAAAAACTGTTGGACCAGAGGCTTTTGCTCGGATGGCTCCTGCTTGTCCTGTTATTGCGGATATAACCACAGTGCACAATCTTTTTGATGTCCTGACTTGTTCTTCTGGCTCCAGGCTTCATTTTCTGTTATACGACAAGTACCTACGTGGTCTTGAAAAGTATGTTTAACTTCTTTTCACTAATATTATATGTGAAATGTCCTTTTAGGCAGTCTTGTTTACTTAATTTGAAACAACATTCTAGTTTGTCTATTTGCGCATGTCACCCCTGCGCTCGTAGCTGTTCTCTTTGAAGTAGGAATTCAAAATGTCAAATTTGGGGTATAAAAGGCCACAAATGTACATTATTTCTTTGTTTCCATTTGTTTCCACTACAATCAACATTTTTAAGGTCTACATTGAATTGAAACAATAATTAAAACATCTGAACATTTCTGGCATGAATTAATTTCATCCCCTCAATTGCTTAATACATTATGGTTCCCTGTTTTGCTTTTGTTTTCAATAGCACACCTGCACAGGTTTTTAATATCAGTTTGAAGTGAATATATTATATATATATCAACAAAAAATTTTGAAAAATTAAAATAAAACAATAAACAGGTTTATTTTTCATTAAATTGATTCTACAATATGTGAATTGATCTTGTATTGTATATGACAGTTAAATGGCATAAGGAGATTTGAAATTCGCACTAGTTTATTCTGCATGTATAATTCAACTTTTATTTATCAAAGATGTTAAACTTGAAAGATTATACGCATGTTCGTGAACAACCTATATGCTTCTTGAGTGCAGGGTCACAAAATTTGTACAAAATGCAGGGGGGCCACAAGCCAGTTCAAATCTTTCACTTGCCGAGGAGGAAATTATTGTAGATATTGATGGAACTGTTCCCACACAACCAGTTTTGCAGCATGTTGGGATGTCAGCATGGCCAGGTAATTGGCAGTTTCCCCTTCTGGAGCAAGCTTGGTATGTCAAAGCTGACAAATTGTTTTGGCAGCTACAAAATAATCTCGAGTTTGAATAACTTGAAAGATTGGACCACCGCAGGCAGTCAAATTATTAGCCTGCTATTGTCACCAGATTTATGTAATATTCACCATGCATGTTTTAACTTGTTATGATCATCTTAATGTTTACCATGCTGCCACTACCATTTCAGGGCGGCTGACATTGACGAATTATGCCCTTTACTTTGAGTCGGGGGTTGGACTATATGACAAAGCTGTAAAATATGATCTAGCAACAGAAGTGAAGCAAGTCATAAAGCCTGAATTAACAGGGCCCCTTGGTGCTCGTATCTTTGATAAAGCTGTGATGTACAAGTCTACATTAATGTACGTTCTCTTAATAACTTGGAAAATCTTTCATAAATAATATCATTAGCATCTCTTGACTTTTAGTTTTTGTGTAGAGAAGAGCCTGTTTATTTGGAATTTCCAGAATTCAAAGGTTGCTCAAGGAGGGACTATTGGTTGGATATCTGTCTTGAGATTCTTCGAGTTCACAAGTTCACTAGGAAATACAATTTAAAAGGGAATCAGAAATCAGAAGCACTTGCTCGGGCAATTCTTGGAATTTTTCGGTTCCGTGCAGTTAGAGAATCCTTCAGGATCTCTTCATCCAATTACAAAACTCTTTTGTGTTTTAACTTGGCTGAGAGTGTTCCTGGGGGAGATATGATAATGGAAACCCTATCTAGTCACTTGGCATTGATAAGTCCGAAGTTTGGACAACCTGATACTCTAGGCTCTCCAAATTCACAAAGACGGCCTGTCTTACCTGCTGCACTTATGACACTTATTAGATTCAAGATTGTTTCTTCTGATGATGTGAAATTGGACGAGGAACCAACACGCCAATATGGCAGCATATGTGTTGGTGAATTGAATCCTTTAGAAGATGTGGTGAAGCAGCTGAAACAGAATACTGGAATGGCTGAAGCTGCTCAAGCAACGGTTGATCAAGTGAAAGTTGAAGGAATTGATGCTAATTTGGCTGTGATGAAGGTTGCTTGTTGCACGATTTCTAATTATTGTGACCCCATTATTTTCTGCTCCATCCTTGTTCTGGCATTTAATGAAACTTCAATCGTCCAACTCGTATTAATAGGCTCTGTAGATGAAGATGAACATGTGATGATAACTGTATATGTTTTGCCTGTAGAATCGAAAGCCGGTAAAAGTATATTATCAGCCTTATCTCTACATGGTGGAGAATTCTGGATGCTATACTGCTTATTTTTCAGTTTCTGACTTTAGAATTCTGGATGCTATCATTTTAGTTTCCTGACTTTCTTTAGAAGATGGGCTTAGCAGACAGTAATTTTACAATGCCATTTGCGACTAATATCTCATTGTTTTAATCATTTTTAATATATATGACGATTAATCTACTGTTTTATCCCGGCATTTTTCTTGTTAAATTATTTCCTTCTTTGTTTGTAGGAATTGCTTTTGCCAATTATCAAAACGCACGACTGCCTTCAGCGCTTGGCTACCTGGGATGAACCTTTCAAGTCACTTATGTTTGTGTTATTCTCCGGCTATTTGATACTTAGGTATGAGCACAGTAATATTTAATTTTTTATATTCTGAGGCTCTTAACCTCTTTCATTTAGGTGTTCACACTATTTAAAAACCTAGACAACATATTGAATTTAGCAACAGAAGGTATTCAGAGATATATATAATGATGATTCAGAAATATTTATGTACATTTTTATGCAGAGTTCATGTATATTGATTATGAACATTTTATTGTATACTACAACTTGGTGATCATTGGTGTTAATTTTAGGCTCTATCGGTTGACAGCTTTGTTGATATACACATTTTAATATCAACTTCATAATTATCCAATGTATCTTATAGCTTAGCTAATTTCTGTACCACTTCACTTTATTCAAACTATTAACTCTGCAGTAAATCAATCTAGACTAGACAAGACAAAAATATATCTAACTGAAAAATAATTGTTGATAATTGGTTTCAGGGATTGGACCAAGTTCGTGCTGCCTGTGTTTCTCATACTGTTGGCGACGGTCATGCTATGGCGCAGGTATATTTGGCGAAGAAGACAACTGGAAGCAATGAAAATCACAGCACCCCCAAACAAGAATCCAGTGGAGCAGCTGCTAATATTACAAGAAGCAGTGACTCAAGTTGAATCCCTCATCCAAAACGGCAACGTTGTTCTGTTAAAAATTCGAGCGCTTGCTTTTGCTGTTGCGCCACAGGTTTGGCATTTCTCAGAAGTTTTAGATGAACAAAATCTGAAATGATGACATAAAATTACATTGCATTGCATTACAGGCTACTGAGAAGCTGGCTATGTTGATGGTTTTAGCGGGAGTAGGAGTGATGATTTTACCGGGTAAGTACATGATGCTGTTGGGGTGGATGGAGTGGTGCACGAGGAACTCCCCCCTCAGACGGGAAAGCAGCGAAAGAGGACTCAGACGATTGAAGGAGTGGTGGACAAGAATACCCGCAGCTCCCGTTCATCTTGTCAAGCCTGATCATAATGATAAAAAGAGGAAATGAAATCGAATTCAGTGTCGTCTTTTAACATAATAATAATAATAATAATACCTTCATTTTGCTGCTTGTTATAATTATGGTTACATCCCCACGTTTAATTAAGTTATGTTTCTCATATTATTATTTTCAGATGCACATTCTTCTTTCCAGGTAGACTTGGCCTTTTGTTTTGGTTTTGGAGCCAAGTTACCCAAAAAAGGAAAGGATTATTATGGTTGGTGTGGTGTGTTTGTCCTGTCTCTTAAGTAGAGCTGCTAAAGAAACCGAGTCGTTCGTGAACTTGATTCGGCTAGGTTAAAATTCGTTCGTGAATATTAACGAGCCAAGTCGAACAATATAAATAAACTCGTTTGATTAACAAACGAGTCCGAATTTTGTCGTTTAAATAATATATTATTATAAATATTATATATATATAATTATTTTAAATTTTCTTTTTAATTTATATATAAAAAAAAAACAAACGAGCTCGAACAAACTTAATCGAGCCGAACACAAACTCAAACAACAAAAATTTTTAACGAACACAAAAGCTTAACGAACAAACACAAGCCTTGTTCGCGAACATTAACGAACACTTAAATATGAGTCGACTCATTAACAACTCTACTCTTAAGGTAACAATGCTGTTAAAGGTAGCCATTTAGTTAGGTTGAAATAATATGAATTGTATCAAATACTCCTGGTTTGGTTTTTAAGGATATGATCTTTCGATGTCAGTCACGACCATGCACTGTAATTATTAATGTAATTGCATTCTATTGGACCTCACTATAGTATAATTAATACCTCAAAAATATTGTCTAAAAGAACAGACTGTACAATGCACAAAACATACACATAATTGAAATAAAAAATAAAAGAAAGAAAACGCAGAGACAAACACATGTAAACAAATGCGCTCAATGTTGATTAAAAAGCCAAACATTATAATATATGCTTCTGCTACAGCACCTTTCACAAGTAATTTTTATTGTTTATACTACATTAAAATAATAAGACCACCCTATTCTCATTCCAAACTCACAAACTTGACAACCAATATATAAAACAAGCAACAAACTTCACAAGTACATCAGCCTTTTAAAAATGATAATAACATCACAGAACAAGAATACAACATTTAATAATAGCTTTATTAAATAAACATAAATTAATTTTATAAAGAATTAAGTAAAACACTTCCAGACATGCCAACAAGAAATTCCTGAGTTGCTTTACCCGAAAACAGATTGGTGATGCAAGCAATTCATCAAAATAACAATATTAGAGAAAAACTTCAAATCATAAAGAATGTAAGTATAACAACGGCAAAAATATTCATTCCAACACAAAATGAAAGATACTCTAACGACATGAAACGAAAAAGTCTGTAATAAAACACAAAAAAGTGAGACACACAAGGAAAGCAGCAATGGACTGATACTAATAATTTATTCTTCCTCAGCAATTGCTCCCTTCTCGCTAACATAAATACCATCAAGGAATTTCCTTATATCCTTGTTCTTGACATGGCATTTCTGCAAAACACCAACATAATAATAACATTAGCTTCAATGGGTGGTGCCCAATTCAGTCAAAATACAAATACACAACTAAAAGAATCTATCAAGACACAACAAGATGTGTGATGCAGAATTACTTCAAAGATATTGTTATGTTACCTGGTTAATCAGAGCAGCAGATCGAGAAACAAGCTCAATGTCATTTCCATCTAAAATCAGTTCATCCTTCACCTTCTCCGACCGCACAATGGAAACCCCTTCAAGCATGTCGACCTTCCTCACCTGGGGTATCGTGGACCAAACAAAACATAATTATAAGCTCCAAGTCAAAAAAAAAAAGGAAAGAAAATATAAACCAATCAAACTACACTTGACAAGAGATTATACAAATACTACTAGAGGCAAAAACACAGCAAATGGTTATGAAGAATCAGACACAGGCCAATTAATCATTGATACTTGTTCACATTCACAAGTTTTAATTGAAGAAATCATGCAGATGTTTCATACACACTTCAAAGAAATAGCAGCATAGAAGTAAATAGAGGACAATTCATTAACACAGTTAAACGATGAAGTTGGTTTTCCTTGTTCAGTGCACATGTAAGCATTCATTGCAAAACAAATATAACAAATTCAAGCCACAGGCGGCAAATCACATCAATAATACCAAACTTGCATCGGTTTATGCTTACGCAAAAAAAAGGACGAGATATTCATTAAGAATGAAGTGTAAAACAAAATACTCCAACAATTGCACGTCTTATAAGTCAAACGCATATAAATTAAAAATCATGACAAAAATTGCAGCTGAAAATTGCAACAATAAAAAGGTAGTGTGTTTTTAATAAATATATGGAGGCAAAACCAAACGTCCGAACACATCTGCGAAAACAAAATTTCGAAATAGAAACAGAGAAATGAAATAAACAGGAAAAGATAACTAGCAAATACAAAGGCACATGGTATATAATGCATAGTAAATAATTTTAAAAAAATTAAAAAAAAATCGAGAAATAATTATTCACATACCCTTTTCTCTCCAAGGAAGTTGCGAATCTCGATAGCGGTGCCGCTGTTGGTGATGGAGGCATTAATCGGAAAATGGGCATACACAAAACGCATCTTATAACGGTAACCCTTGGTAACACCTTTAATCAAATTCGAGACATGGCTGAGGGCAGTGCGAATAGCTGCGGTGGTTTTCCGGCTGCCAAACCAGGCGTCAACCTTGAGCTTCTTCTTTCCGGTTTCCTCGTCGGTAATCAACTGAAAATCAAGATTCAGGTGCTTGAAATTGCGGGAGAGTTTCCCCCTGGGACCTTCAACCTCGATCAACTTGGCCTTGATCTTGATCTTCACTTCATCTGGAATGTCCATGGAATCGGAGGATAGAATCGTCTTCATCTTCCCCTTCTTCAACCTGTCTGCGCCGGTAGAGGGAAGGAATGGAGGAGCGACTGCAGCAGAGAAAACGGAGTGGCAGAGAAACCCTAGAAGCAGTTTATATAGTGTTAGCAAGAAACCCTAATTTTGTCTTCTGAGAAAATTTATGCACTATGTCACCTAAGCCCTAATTACTGGGCTTCTGCGATTAGGCCTTATTCTCGGCCCACTTATATAATACAATAATACTCCTATTAGATATATATCACACTGTGTCGGATGTAGAAATATATTTTTTGATTGGATAAGAGTTTTAATTAGTATAATTTTTATTTTTGTAATAAAAAATATTTAAAAAATAATAAAAATATTATACCTTTTTACTTAAAAAAATGAACATACTTTTTATAACAGACAAATAAGGAAAGTAAGTAGATTTAAATATATTGTTAAATCAATTTTTTTAAAAAAAAATCTCTCTAATGATTTACTTATTTATTTATTTGAACTTTGAAGCTTTTAGATAAATATTTTAGTATTAAAAATAAAAATAAAAAATGATCATTTTAATAATAAAAATAAGAGGAAAAAATACAAATAAACAACAGAGGTAAATGAATTAATGTATGGTAGATGAGGTGAAACTTTATTCAATCATGGGCTGGACAAAGAAAGAGTAATCCTTTTGAAGAAAAAATTAACATTATTATGTTTGTTTGGTAAAAAAACAATTAAAAAATTAATATATTATACACTTACTCCAGCTTCTAAATGTCACATTTACTTTAATTTTTTTGTAATTTTTTCTTAATTTTTACTAAATTTTGATATAATAATTAATATTTCATGTAGTATTATTTTTATATTAATTATATGATTTTTTATATTTTACATGAAAATAACCCCATCAAACTATTTCATAAAATAAACAAACCATTGCCTTCCTATCAAAGGTCATAGATAGTCCCTAAAGGATGACTAACAGTGTTGCGTGGGTTTGTTACTAGTTATGAGTTTAAACTCTTCACGCCTCTAGGTCATGTCTGTCAACCATAGTTTATTCACTGTGATCTTGTCGGACCTATTTTGCAGACCAAAGATTCGATTGTTGATTTACCGAAATTTACCCGAACACACTCATCCAAAAACATATATATCTGTAAATAATGATACTATTGAGTGATTATTAAGATGAAGTGTTTTAGAATAGTAGAAGACTAATATTGTTACTGCATTCCATGTAATTTGGTCTGCCACATGACTCACTGTCCATGCATAACAACAAAATGATCAAATTACAAAGACTGGTTTGAGCACAAACATCTTGCAACCATGGGGCTCTACTGTTGCACTCAAATTCCCTACGAGCGTCTGCTTCAAAGTCTTGTGCTGCATTATTATTCAAATTTCAATTCAGATTCAAATTCAAATTCAAATTCAACGTTAGTTAATCTATTAAGTTGGAATAAGGATAAGATAGGAGTTTGAAGACCTGCCAGAGGTCTCTGGCTTGAGCCGGAGTGGAGGGAGGCATCCCTATGTCATTCCAGTGAGCCACAATGTCCGCAACCCACCATCCCCGGTTTACCAGCAATACTATTATACGATTTCCGGACACGGCCCCTGCCCAAACCTACCAACATAGTCGTACTACCTCAGTTATTCACATTTATGCTCATTTTTCTTTTGGATTGTCATAAAAAAAGTATTATGGTTTCCTTTTAAAGTAAAAATTATTACAATTTTGTACTTTTTTTTTACTATAAAAAGAAAAAAAGTAATAATTATTACTCACTTTTATTAAAACTCATGTCCGTGTCCGGTCAAATGAGCACGCATTTGCATGATGGATAGAATACTATATTAACATTAATTAATTATAAATACTACCCAAGATATCTAATCATCCATCAAATCAATTACCTCCAAGTCACCTTCCATCCTCACTTTTTTACCTTGAACACCCACTTTATCTGCGTATTTTATTATATCATATCATATCATATCATGGAATATTATTATTTGCGACTACTAACTAACATACATATAGAATACCATTACATACCTTGGTTAACGGCGATGACCTCCTTATTCGCTAGAATTTGCATCGTTTCGTTGCTCATCTTTCTTACATCACAACCGATAAGTAGAGGAGCCTATTGTCGATCCACCAACATAAATACATACATACATTACACACAACACCATTTTTGTATATGGCAGCAATGGAGAGCTAAAGAGGGACAGACCTTAGAAATTGCCCATATACTGAAGTGAATAATGTACTCATCTCTTGTCATCCCTCCATTTCCAATCTGTAGCATATCTGGATCTGTATACAGTATAGATACATATTGTAGATTGATAGCTAGATGGATAGCGACGGGAAGAAAGCTACAAGAAATACCATTCCAGCCACCGGGTCGAGCGTATTCTGCATAAACTTCATTCTGATCTGCTCGAGACACCATGCTGCAAGCATAGCATTCCATTCCACGCATCAAAGGTAGGAACAACTCAATGTTCATCTATCGATAAGCATACCTCTCCCACGTATCAGATATATCATTTGTGGTTCTCCAGCTGTTTCCTACAGCATATCCCCAGAGGGCTGGGTGCATATCTCCCCTGCATCAAATGCATTCACACAAACAGTCCTTCAAGCTTCAGCATATATGAATCGTATCGACATAGGAAAGGGACAGTAACAGTTACCATTCACATAGGGAAAAGAAGATTGGCCTCCCAGTTTTCATAAGTGCACGGGTCATCACCGGATATCTTCATTAACAAATTACAACAGACAAGATGCTCAATATGCATATATACGATGGAGGCTCAACAAAGGCCCTTATGTGAGTAGGAATGTTATGTATTACCGAAGAGTAGGGCTTGTATGGTCGTTGTGACAGTTATCGTACTTCAAATAATCGATACCCTGTAAGAAAAACCAAGTTTCAACAATGTTTGTCGAGTATCTTGAGAATCTAATATTCTACACAGTGTTACCAAACAAACTAACATATATAAATGCATCGTTGCGTACCCATGAGGCGAAGGTTTGGGCATCTTGCTCTTCATGGCCAAGTGAACCAGGCATTGTTTTGCTGCAAGTGTAAAACCTGCAAGCAAATTCATGATATAGATTAGCAGGGCATGATGGCGATGGCGAAACTTTGTTCATCAAGATATAATACCCGGCATCAGAGTATATTCCTAGCTTAAGCCCCTTGCTATGAACATAATCAGCCAGAGCCTTAATACCAGATGGAAATGTGGATTTCTTTGGCACTAGATTACCCTGAAATTCATTTTTAAGTGATAGCTAACAAAGAATGTGGCAAACAGAAATGCAGCCAACAGTTTCACCGAGCATAAATTGAACCTTAGAGTCACGAGAACCTTCAGCCCAGCAATCATCTGATTAAGAGACATGTGAACAGATATGTTACACTTTTTGGACACATCAAATGCTCTGTAATGCTTATTAAAGAAGGGAGAAAATAGCATCCGCGAATACTGTACCTATGTTAACAAACTTGTATCCAAGCTTAGCAAGACCGGTTGAGACCAGAGTATCGGCTGCGACACCAGAGGCAATAAGAAAATTATGACTATAACTGAATATGTGTTGCAGTCGCTTTTCACTTTATTGAAAACAAGCGTGTGATCGTCTTTTTGCTTTGTTAAGAAGATCAAAATATATCAGATTAAAACAATGTCACACCTGTTTCTTTGATGATTTTTTCATCAATGTTGCAGAGAAAATGATTCCAGCTATTCCACCTGAGGCAAACGATGTACACAAGAAAATCAATGATGGTTCTTGCATTTTCATATACCCGAGTATTCAATGTTTTCTTTGAGGATTTGGTTTTACAACCTAGATCAGCTAGCTAAGATCATTTTCAAATTACCATTATACGTAAAGGCACCATGAAAACCTTAGATTGGCGAATGAACTCAGTTCGTATATATATATACATGTATATATAGTTAAGCAGAAAGTCAAGAATATAAACAGAACCAGAAGTGACGAAAGCACAACTTTCTTAGTGAAATGGAAATCAAACCAATTGCAATTTGCAAGGCATCTTAGCACCAATCGATGGTTAACTTTACGTGGTGCAACTCCTACGAACGATTTAGATTTCGGATCTCAACCAAACAAACGACTAATATGTCGCAATGCAAACCAGGGAGGGAAGGCACGAAGGAAAAACTCGCAGAGAATTGGGCAAATAACTTACAGAAATAATTAATTCACATTCACAAAAAAAAAAAAAAAAAAAATAAAATTGCCAATCATAAAGGAGGAACGAAATGGCGATGCATGTTTGCATACCCCATTGGAGGAGTAGAGGCCAAGCCATTGCCGAGCAGATGGCGCCGAATTAATAAGCTTCTAGAATCGTCGCGAGAAGAAACGGACACAGCGCCAATGAGCAGCAGCAAGCAGGCGAGCAATGAAAGTATTGGCGACTCCATACCAAGTTACCGATGCGATGGCAGGCAGGCAGGCAGACACCCGACTCGATTGAATTGAATGTATTGATGAGGCGCTGCTGCAGACATTCATACATGCGTAGATATATTGTAGAGCAATCCATCGGGGATAACGACGTCGGACAAATGGCAAGATGGATGAGGAGGCAGAAGGAATCCATGGATCCTTGTTTGGCAGGTGCAGTGGTGTGCTCAGAGCTCAGACTGAAAGTGTTTGTGTTTGTCGTCGATGGCGGATTTTCTGCAGCTCGCCTTGGCTTTACACTGCTTTACATATCTGCTTTTGCTTTTGATGGTATTTCATATATTATTACTATGTATATATATATAAAGGTGTTATATAATAATTATATAATATAATATTATTAATATTATTAAGTATATTATATTGAATATTATAAGGCAATGTGTGTATATATATATAATATAATAATATATGCAAATGTTGTAAAGCAAAGGTGAGGAAATTGAATGCGAAATTGTGTGTTCATTAAATATTAAATCGTCGTATTTATAGGCAGAAAATTTCGATATGAAGGAAAAGCAGACATATGCTACGTAGTTACTTCGTGTAGCTACGCATGTATTTTGTAATACTCCCCCTTTGTAATACTCCCCCTTGAATGCTTTTATATAAAGAATGTGCTTCGTTAAAACCTTAATATGAAAAAACCCTGTGGGAAAAAAAATCATAGGGAAGGAAAAAGAGTACATCATTCTTGTATTAATGCGTTCCCTATGTTTTGGACTTTATTTGATGTCTTTCATCCGACGCATTCCAATTCCTTGCACCAGTTTGTTGAATATTGCAGTCGGTAGCGCCTTCGTAAATAAATCTGCAAAATTTTCAGACGATCGAATTTGTTGCACATCAATTTCACCATTTTTTTTAAGATCATGAGTGAAAAAGAACTTCGGAGATATGTGCTTTGTTCGATCGCCTTTAATATATCCTCCCTTTAATTGAGCTATACAAGCTGCATTATCTTCATATAATATTGTATGAGGTAATATATCATCGGTAATCAAGCCACATTTTTTCTGAATATGGTGAGTCATGGACCTCAACCAAACGCATTCACGACTGACTTCGTGAATTGCTAAAACCTCAGCATGGTTTGAAGAAGTAGCTGTTATTGTCTATTTAGCAGATCTCCAAGAGATTGCGGTTCCACCACATGTAAATAAATAGCCAGTTTGAGATTTTGCTTTGTGTGGATCAGACAAATAACCAGCATCAGCATAACCAGTTAATTCATTTCGAGATTCACTCGAATAAAATAATCCGAGGTCATGAGTCCCCTGAAGATAACGGAAAATGTGTTTGATACCATTCCAATGGCGCTTTGTGGGGGATGCGCTGAACCTGGCCAGTAAATTTACTGGAAAAGATATATCTGGCCTGGTACAATTTGCGAGGTACATTAATGCGCCAATAGCGCTGAGATATGGTACCTCGGGGCCAAGTATTTCTTCATTTTCTTCTCTTGGCCTAAATGGATCTTTACTGGGATCAAGTGATCTGACCACCGTTGGTGTACTCAGAGAGTGAGATTTATCCATGTAAAATTGTTTTAATACCTTTTGGGTATATGTGGATTGATGGATAAATATTCCGTTGTTCACATGATCCACTTGTAATCCTAGACAATATTTTGTCTTTCCAAAATCTTTGATCTCAAATTCTTTCTTAGATATTCAACTGCAGTTTGGATCTCTTCAGGAGTTCCAATTAAATTGAGATCATCAACATATATTGCAATAATGACAAAATTTGATCCATTTTTCTTTATAAAGACGCATGGGCATATTGGATCATTAGTATAACCTTCTTTCATTAAACATTTGCTCAGACGGTTATACCACATTCGCCCTGATTATTTAAGTCCATACAATGATTTTTTCAATTTGATGGAATATGATTCCCTTGGGTTTAATTTTTATGCTTCAGGCATATTGAATCCCTCAGGAACTTTTATATAAATATCAGTATCCAATGAGCCATAAAGATATGCAGTAACTACGTCCAAAAGGCGCATATCGAGTTTTTCTCGCACTGCTAGGCTCACAAGGTATCTAAATGTTATTCCATCAACAACTAGAGAGTACGTTTCATCAAAATCTACTCCAGGCCTTTGTGAGAATCCCTGAGCTACAAGACGGGCTTTATATCTCACAATTTCATTATGCTCGTTTCTTTTTCGTACAAATACCCATTTGTATCCAACTGGTTTTATACCATCTGGTGTTTGAACAATTGGTCCGAAAACCTCTCTTTTTTTTAATGAATCAAGCTCTGATTGAATCTCCCATTTTGGCTAGTCATTTCTTTGCCGACATTCATGAACCGATTTTGGCTCTGGATCTTCGTTTTCTTCCATTATATCAAGTGCTAAATTGTATGCGAAGGCATTATCAATAATTGCCTCTTTACGGTTCCAACATTTTCTTGAAGTAACATAGTTAATTGAGTTTTCAATAATCTCATCATGTTCTTCAAGATCGTGCTCTTCTGGAGCAATTATTTCAGGGTTGACTTCCTCGTTGGATTGAGGTTTATCAATGTCATTCCTGATATTTTCATGATTTTCATCATTAATTCCTCTTTTCTTTCGAGGGTGTTTATCTTGGGAACCGAGCGGTCTACCACGCTTTAAGCATGTCGTTGATTCATTAGCACTTCCAATTTGTCCGTCAAGGACAATTATTTTAGCCGGAGCATTAGCAGCTTGGATATATGATCGAGTGACTTTGCTCGAGTCATTGAATGCATCCGGTAACTGATTTGCAATGTTTTGCAAATGTATGATGCGTTGAACTTCTAGTTCACACTACTTTGTACGAAGATCACAAAAATTCAATGGGATTTTCCAATTAATATCCCTTTTCGGTTCGTTTTTGTCTCCCCCTAATGTCGGAAAATATGATTCGTCAAAATGACAATCTGCAAATCTTGCAGTGAATAAATCAACCGTCATAGGCTCAAGATATTTTATAATTGACGGCGATTCATATCCGACATAAATGCCCAATCTACGTTGAGGACCCATTTTTGTACGTTTGGGGGGTGGAATAGGAACATAAACAGCACACCCAAAAATACGTAGATGAGATATATTTGGTTCGTGACCAAATACTAATTGCATCGGGGAGTAGCTATGATAGCTTGTCAGCCTCATTCTTATGAGTGTTCCTGCGTGTAAGATTGCATGCCCCCAAGCTGAAACGGGCAACATAAACCTCATCAGTAATGGTCTAAAAATCAATTGCAATCTTTTAATAAGTGATTCTGCCAGGCCATTTTGTGTATGAACATGAGCAACTGGGTGCTCTACATTAATTCCAATCGACGTGCAATAATCATCAAATGCATTTGATGTATATTCACCAGAATTATCCAGACGTATAGTCTTAATTGGATTATCGGGGAATTGTGCCCGTAATTTAATAATTTGGGCAAGCAATCTCGCAAATGCCATATTGCGAGTAGATAATAAACATACATGGGACCATCTCGTAGATGCATCAATAAGCACCATAAAATATTTAAATGGCCCACATGGTGGGTCAATTGGTCCACATATATCCCCGTGTATTCTTTCCAAAAATGTAGGTGATTCAATACCTACTTTAGCTGGCGATGGCCTGGTTATCAATTTTCCCTGAGTGCAGGCAAAACATGTTAACTCATTTGAGTTTAACACTTTTTGATCTTTTAATGAATGACCATGCGAATTCTCAATTATTCGCCTCATCATTATACTGCCAGGATGCCCAAGGCGATCATGCCATATTTGAAAATCGGTAGTCCTTTGATCTACCATGAGGTGTGTTTCAACACCACCTAATCTGGCATAATATAAGCCAGTAGAGAGTGATGGTAATCTCTCAATGATGCATTTCCCTTTATCAATGATATTGGTGATCAATAAAAATTCACCATCGGTATCACTCATAGTTTCAATGTGATAACCATTTTTCCGAATGTCATGAAAGCTCAGTAGATTTCTTCGACTTTAGTGGCCAACAGTGCATACTGTATCACAATTTTCGTCCCCGCGGGGAGAAATATAATGGCTTCTCCAGAGCCTTCAATTAATTTCGCACTGTCACTTATTGTATTGACATTCATTTTGTTCCTTTTCAAATAGGAGAAATATTTTTCGTGTTTCAATATAGTATGTGTCGTTGCACTGTCAATGAAACACATATTTGTATCATTTTGATTGGCATCCATTTAACGAAAAATAAAATAGGCAAAAGCTTTCGTACTGATAACGTGTTATATAATAATTATATAATATAATATTATTAAGTATATATATATCGAATATTATAAGGCAATGTGTGTGTATATATATAATATAATAATATATGCAAATGTTGTAAAGCAAAGGTGAGGAAATTGAATGCGAAATTGTGTGTTCATTAAATATTACATCGTCGTATTTATAGGTAGAAAACTTCGATATGAAGGAAAAGCAGACATATGCTACATAGTTACTTCGTGTAGCTACGTATGTATTTCGTAACAAAAGGATAATTTTTAGGCTTTATTTTATTATTCTCGGTTGAATTTAAAAAATAAAGAAAAAGAAAAAAAATTGTGTATCTTTACATTTGGTTTTTAAAATTTTTATTTGAATTTAGTATTGAAATCATGTTTATAAAATATTTTGTAAGGTAAATTATCTAGTATATATATATATATATTTTTGGATGACGTGGAAATCCGTCGTCGCTATCCGAATATGCGCACGGGGTAAATCTCTGGCCAAACTTAATACCCTGCAAACTAAGCTCGACGGAAAAATCATACTAAGCTAACCATGTGTGGCAGGTGACTTGAGGCATCGAGGATTTGAACCATGACATCACGGTCATGTTTATAAAATATTTTGTAAAGAAAATTATCTAGTATATTTTTTTATAGAATACAAATAATAGAAGTTGAAAGATTGATAAATTATTATTATTATCAT